TAGAAAGAAAAGGGAAAATGGAAACCCGCCCCTGGAAACGTCCCGCCGAATTTATACGGATATAATTTGGTTTTCAGCAGGCCGCAGTCTGGTCGACGTCTGCAACGGACGTGTCCACGACAGTCCCAAACTTGCCAAACTCGAGAGGTCAGTTCGGAAAGAGGTTTCGAAATGCATCCGAGACCTGGATCACGCCCAGACTCGGCCTTGCCGATTATGTCCGAGTAAATGGACCCTAAATAAACGGAGGAAGGTGATAAAATCCACCCTGGATCTGAGACCAGGACCAAACGTGCACTGCTACGAAAGAAATCCTGCGATCAGACCCGCTCAAAGAAATGTCAGGCAGGGTAAAGAAAATCCCCTTAAGGTGAAGTGAAACATCCTTCAAATCAGTCGATTCTAATACAACACTTTTTATTAAGGGTAAAAGACCAAACTGTCCGAAACTTTGACACGTCACTCCTGATCACCTAAGAATTGTCCTGACACATTCAAAATTTGGATCTTTCAACAAAATTTTTTAACTCAGTCCAGACCAGAACCAAAATGGCGTCGAGCTCAGATATTTCGATCAATATACAATTATCGAAGGCTCTGATATGAGAATCGAAAGGGTCAGGACAATTTTACGACAATTTAGAACACTCTGGTAATCGATAAACTCGCATTTGAACGGGATAAAGGCAAAAAAAGTGTTGTATGCGCTTCTTTGCTAAAACGATGGGAATACGAGGTCTCGGAGTGAAAATTTAATTGACCTGGAAATCACAGATGGCGCAGGGGGTCCCTCCGCATTCAATTAGGGCCCCAGAAAGCATGAATCGAGAGGATTTCTGGAGTTTTACTTCGATTTCTTCATAATTATTGTACGAAAACGACAGGTGGAATATGCCATTTGGTACAATACCCAATATAATTCGACCCAGCTGTCAATATAAAAACGAACGTCGGCAACGTAGGCATTTAGAAAAATCTTCTTTATCGACGTCGATCAAGTTCTTCGACGTGTTTCACTTCACCTTAAATGGACGATATTGATTTTTTTATACCCGAGCTTTTTGCACCGATCAGACGGTTTCAATCCATAGGGCAGATTTCTTTCAGGAAACGCTCCCCCGCGTTACACGGCGACGTTAATTTCCGCGAAAGTTAGGGAAGCCATTGCCGCTTAACGCGGAAAAGCGCCTTCTCTCCGGGAAATCGCCTTCTCAGAGGAAGAGGCCGGAGTTTGTGATGTCTGGCCAAGCGGCGTCTGTCCTGCGAGCGACAGTCCATTGTTTCCCGGATAAGCCGTTTTTATTAAACCGGATGATTATTCGACGTCAAGCATCGGCGGTGGACAGGAGGAAATCGATCAACGTTTTGTCATTAAGCCACCCTTTCTGGGTAGCCGGCCAGCTAAGTATTAGCTGGAGACTATCCTTTGGAGGCGGCGTATTAAAAACGTCGATCGAGATTACCAGGGATGCTGAAGAGTCCAGCATCCCTCGGACGAGGAAATTCCTCTTATGGTGGTTCACGTTGGTTAAGCTTCTTACAAAGTCCCGGAGATCGGACTAATTCTGGTCCTAATTCCGAAAAACTGAGAGCGAGGTCTTCGATAAGGTCTTCGACCTTCTTATAAAGTCCCGGAGATCGGACTAATTCTGGGCCTAATTTCGAAAAACTGAGAGGGAGGCATTCGATAAGGTCTTCGAGCTTCTTATAAAGTCCCGGAGATCGGACTAATTCTGGGCCTAATTTCGAAAAACTGAGAGGGTTCGATAAGGTCTTCGAGCTTCTTATAAAGTCCCGGAGATCGGACTAATTCTGGGCCTAATTCCGAAAAACTGAGAGCTAGGTCTTTGATAAGGTATTTGATAAGGTCTTCGAGGAGGTCTTTATCGGCGTCGACCACCTGGGCTCTCGATTGCATCCCGAGCTCGATGGCGATTGATCGATGCCACCCTTACCTCGCGGGAGGTGCCACTAGTTTATTTGTTTATTGCAATTACGGCACCCGGCGTTATTTATCAATCACCCAGCCCTATGACACGAATGGTCGGATGCGCCGCGTGTGGTGGTTCAATAGGTCGACCACCAACCGGCAGCAATTTGCCCCCTTCGATTCACCCTTAACCCGAGAAACGGCATGATAGACCTTAACTCATGGAATCGCCATCCCCGCAAGAGGTACTAAGCAATAAAAAAATTAATATAAAGATAAAAGAAAATTCTAAACCACGCGTACAAAATTTAATGCCCTCGGGTTATCTCACTTCCAGATTACGTTTCGGATTCTGGAGATCCTACTTTGGCCGAAAGCGATCGATCGATACCCCTCCTCGATTTTAGATATCCACGTGGACGTAAGCCGGGTAAAATTAAATATAAATAATTTCAAAATGTTGAAAAAAAATTGTATAAACGCGCGTTTAAAAATTCCTTCCAGATTCCGTTCTGGAAATCTTACTTTGACCGATAGCCCTCCTCGATTTTGGATATCCATGGGGACGTAAGCCGGGTAAAATTAAATATAAATAATTTCAAAATGTTGAAAAAAAATTGTATAAACGTGCGTTTAAAAATCCCTTCCAGATTCCGTTCTGGAAATCTTACTTTGACCGATAGCCCTCCTCGATTTTGGATATCCATGGGGACGTAAGCCGGGTAAAATTAAATATAAATAATTTCAAAATGTTGAAAGAAATTGTATAAACGCGCGTTTAAAAATCCGTTCCAGATTCCGTTCTGGAGATCTTACTTTGGCCGATAGCGATCGATCGATACCCCTCCTCGATTTTGGATATTCATGGGGACATAAGCCGGGTAAAATTAAATATAAATAATTTCAAAATGTTGAAAAAAAATTGTATAAACGCGCGTTTAAAAATTCCTTCCAGATTCCGTTCTGGAGATCTTACTTTGACCGATAGCCCTCCTCGATTTTGGATATCCATGGGGACGTAAGCCAGGTAAAATTAAATATAAATAATTATTTGGAGATCCGACTTTGACCGATAGCGATCGATCGAGACACCGTCTCTTGTGGAAGGTTCCCGGTCGCGAAGGGAAATAATAAAGTGGATCTCCCCCGGCGATGGCGGCGAAAGATCTCCCTATCCCGGGACCGTTGTCCATTTTCGAAACGACCATCGGATCCCGGCATTCGTGCACCTTCATCCGTGCGGAGCTCCGGAACGCGGATGGAGAGCAGCCCGTGGGCAGCCAATCAAATAAAGTAGTCCGAGGTTGCTTTACCGGATGCAAATTCGGCCCCCGGCGGCTTTTCTGTTTTCCCCCGGCGCAGGATCCGAGCGGATCCTCGCAGGACACCAAACTCGCCGCTAATACCAAACTCCCCGTATTGTTCGTCCCACACCCTTTTCAATCTCGATACGCGTCCACCCGGAGTGCACCGCTTCTCGAGGGGAAGGACATCCGGGAAATATTTTCAGGACCATCGACTTTTCGGACGGGACCTCCAGGAGTGGCCGACGATTCGATGCACTCACCGGAATCACGGGTCCTGGGATTTTTCAGAGGATATCGTCAGAGTCGAGAACCCGGTCCAGGGGATGCTGCGACTCGGGAGCCAGGAATCCGAAAGATCCTTTAAGGTGAAGTGAAACACGTCGAGGAACTTGATCGACGTCGATAAAGAAGATTTTTCTAAATGCCCACGTTGCCGACGTTGGTTTTCATATTGACAGCTGGGTCGAATTATATTGGGTATTGTACCAAATGGCGTACTCCACCTGTCGTTTTCGTACAATATATATCAAGAAATCCTCTGGATTCGTGCTTTCTGGGGTCCTAATTGACTGCAGAGGGACCCCCTGCGCCATCTGTGATTTCCAGGTCAATTATATTTTCACTCCGAGACCTCGTATTCCCATCGTTTTGGCATAGAAGCGCATACAACACTTTTTTTGCCTTTATCCCGTTCAAATGCGAGTTTATCGATTACCAGAGTGTTCTAAATTGTCGTAAAATTGTCCTGACCCTTTCGATTCTCATATCAGAGCCTTCGATAATTGTATATTGATCGAAATATCAGAGCTCGACGCCATTTTGGTTCTGGTCTGGAATGAGTTAAAACATTTTTTTGAAAAATCCAAATTTTCAATGTGTCAGGACAATTCTTAGCTGATCAGGAGTGAGGTGTCAAAGTATCGGACAGTTTGGTCTTTTACCCTTAAAAAAAGTGTTGTATTAGAATCGACTGATTTGAAGGATGTTTCACTTCACCTTAAAGCTCTGTAAAAAAGTACAGAAACAGATAAGGAGCAGAAAAGTGAGGCGGAAAAGAGAAACAAGACGTGGTTCCAAACCCCATGATATTTTCTCTTTTTCCCCCCGGGAATTCTTCATCGTGACGCTTTTTCGTGTCGGGAATTTGGCTTATCCCCTGGCAACGGAAGTTTCACATAAAAAATGTGCGATGGTAACCGGAGGTTCGGATGGCGAATCTCAGGTCGATGCTCCCGAAGGTGTTCGTGGCGACCGGAAGAGTAGCAACGGAGGGTGTGCAGGAAGTCCGGGGCAGGGATCCTGGATACGGCGGAGGGTGGCCAGGGGTTGACGGGTGACACTCGGCCGCGCGACTCTCTCCTAATTATGCCCTAATGGAAATAAATCGTTACATTTGTAGGAGCGTCGTGTCGCTTTCGGTCCCGGGTGCACTTACCGGGCGCCACCTGTTTGATTCCCGAAGATGTCCGGGTCTATTTGTCTATTTCGGCGTCTGGCCGTTCCCCGTCTTACCTAGAGCTCGCCTGCGTTATCCGTCCCCGAAGGACGATCAATTTCAATTCCGAGGAAATCCCTTTTAAATCTTGCATCCCGTGGCTCGGGGAATCCGTACCTACACCTTCGGGGGTGTTCCAACTGGTTCCTAAGATTGGATTCATTGGATATTGCATATATTGTGCCTGGAAAACGTTACAACGGATTATGTAGAAAGAGACCACCTCTATCGCGTACGCCCGAGGTCTGCGACACGTATATGATACGTATATATAAGAGGTTTGCGTTTATTGTATAATATTTATATATGTATAGTAGTACTATGTACAACCAAAAAGGATTTTTCACAGAACATAAATAATCGGGAAATTATGTTACAGAGGCAGAGAGACGCGTGTAGGTTCGGGACAGTAAAACCGCGATAAAAGATACTCCGGAGAGAGAGATCGATAACTCGGGTTTTCCTTCCCTCTTCCGGCATACGACATACGCAAACGCACGCCGAATCGATCCTTGCCCTGCGACCTTCTCGAATGGCCCTTGCAATCGATGATCCTGGCCAAAGTGCACGCACGATTACCGTAACGCAATTAACGAGTAAACGAGCGCGTCCTTAACGAGCATATGTACACCGCACGCGGTTTTTCCGATCAATTTCTCATTCCGTTTAGAAAATTCCTCGGAGAGTGATTAGCCTGACGTTAATTACCGACAGTGGTCCAAGATTCGCGTGGTAGCTCGTTTCTAGAGGTCCTCGTGGAGGATCGGCTCCTCCACCTCGGATCCTTACATCGACGATATCGATAGTAAACAATAAATATACATACGTACAATAAGTACCTAGCTGTCACCTTTTAAATAGTTTTAGCGCGCCAGGCTTTGAGAACGTTCGCCACTCCTCGCTTTGCATTCTTTTTTTTTTTTGCGTTAAGTATGGATAAGTGTTAAGAGACTTAACATCCTAACGCGGTACCGACGAGTCGCGAAGCCGGCCCTTCCGAATTGCCCTGTCCAGTACTCGTCCCTATGACGTATCTTATTTTTCATTTTTCTATTTAGAGATTTTTTATTTCTGGTAACCGTAGTCCCGCCAGCAGACGCGATCACCGGTCCGAAATCTTCGACCAAGAGACGAACTTGAACGCTGAGATGCGAAGAGGGCTCATCCGGTTCCTCTCTTCAAGGTAGTCATCGTTCTTCTTTTTCTGGTAACCGTAGTCCCGCCAGCAGCTACGAAGGTAGTCTTCGTGGTCTCCAGCTCGCCATTCCTCGCCAGAACGGGGAACTCATCATCTAGACCCTGAAGTGGACCCTGAGGTACTTCAAGCTCACCTTCACGTGGAGTTACGAATTAACATTGGATTAAATTCCCATTAAATTCGCTGCACTTCAGATTTCCAATGATCCGGCCATCGAGGTGGACCGATCTGCAAATGGCGACCCTGAAGAGCTGAGATGCGAAGAGGGCTCATCCGGTTCCTCTCTTTAAGGTGGTCATCGTTCTTCTTTTTCTGGTACCCGTAGTCCTGCCAGCAGCTACGAAGGTAGTCTTCGTGGTCTCGAGCCGCCATTCCTCGCCAGAACGGGGAACTCATCATCTAGACCCTGAAGTGGACCCTGAGGTACTTCAAGCTCACCTTGACGTGGAGTTACGAATTAACATTGGATTAAATTCCCATTAAATTCGCTGCACTTCAGGTTCCCAATGATCCGGTCATCGAGGTGGACCGATCTGCAAATGGCGACCCTGAAGAGCAAGAAGAGGACCTCGGATCCCATCGCTTATATTTTCCGCCAGTAATAGAGGCTCTTCCTGGCACTGCGCGCAATTATGTCGATAAGCGTATCTCTCGGCGCCTCTTATCATTCCCTATCACGGATCGAACTTGGTCAACGGCACTCTCGGTGCCGCTCTTCAGGTTTTCCAGGAACGCCTGTCCTCGGGACTCGGGATTTCGCGTCGTCGTTGCGATCATCGTCGAATTTCCCGACGACTGAAGGAGACTACGCTTCGAAGAGAGAAATGAGAAAATCGGGAGATCTCGGCATCCTCTTCGTGGTCCAGGAGGAGGAGTGCCGAGGCCTAGCCAGGAACTTCGATCGTTCTCGGTTCTCAATTAATCCTGATTAATGTACACTAATTACAGCGTCATCGAAGAGCCATTCGGTGGGGCTGATCGTGTCGCTCCTCAGGGTGTTCACCTTACAGCTTTTCAGCCATCTACTTTTTCTTCGCCTCCATTTTAAAGCTCTTCAGGGTCCCCCTTTCTTCTTTCCCCTGTTGCACCTGCCAGGTTACTCCACTTCCTGGATCTCTCATCTTCGCCGCGAGTCCTCGAAGAAATCCCTCTCCCTGAAGAAATTCAAAGTCATCGGATGCCTCCACGTGTCTCTTCCGGGTCATCTTCGTCTCGTCCTATGGTCGTCCCGCCCGAATCTCCTGAAATCGAGTTCGCCATCCCCGGATCAGCTGACATCCCGCGCCCTGGACCCGGAGACGGTGCCGGAAGCTGCGACGAGAGACGAGAGGACCGTCCACCCAAAACCCTCGGTCACAGGAACTGGCCTAAGACGCCTCGGCGTCCAGATGCGTCGTGGCCTCCGTCGAATCTATCACCTCGAAACCCTGAGGAGGGCTCGAGGCGTCGCTCGCCGTCGCGACGTCGGTCTTCCTCTCTTCAGGAACGCGAGTTTCCTCCCGAGGCTCCTCGGCTACGCTCGTCGTGGGGGGGCTTTGCGCGCTGCGAACTTCTGCTGATAAGAGAAAATCACTCATAAAAAAAATATAAAAAAAAATCTGTCATTGCTAAACAAACATTACCAAAATAAAAAAAATTAACTTCCATAGGAAAATCCCTTTTCCACTTCCATTCCAATAATGAATTGAAAAATAACGCGCATCGCGAAAGGAGAGTGCTTCACGCGGATTGTCTCCACACTAACGAAAAAATATTGTTATAATTGCAATTGGCCATGACAAAAAGATTAAAAGTAGGAATTTGGGCTGGTTATTGGAAGCTTTGTTTCAAAGTTTCATTTAATAATTGAAGAGTCAAAATTTAAAGGCGATCGGTCAACCTGCGTAGTCGGGCATCCTTGAGTTCAGTCCTGCGTCCTGCGGGGCGAAGTCCTCGTTTTCGGACCCAGGACCGTCAGGATCAGGATCCAGCTGAGAAAGTTCGCTGACGTAGTTTTGTTGGGTTTGCTCGGTAGGAGGCGTAGGACTCGGACTAGGACTCGGAGTGGATGCAGGAGATGGTCCTGGCGTCGTGGGAGCCGTGCTAGGGGTGGGTGGCTGGGCTGGCTGGGTGTGGTTCCTGAAGAGCAGCTGCTGCAGCTGAGCCTGTTGCAGGATCACCGGCAGCTCGTAGTGGTGGAAGAAGTACAGCATGGAGTGCTGTAAAGAGACGATTTTTCGTGATTAGGACCTCGAGAAGAATTTCCTAATCGCGCAGGAACTCGAAAAGGAATTCCCTTATCACGCAGAGGCTAGAAGAAGATCACGCAGGAGGTAGAAAAAAAATTCCGTAATCACGCAGGAATTCGAGAAAAAATTCCTGATCACGCAGGAGGTGAAAAAAACAGGATATCCCCGGGATTTCACGGCCAACAGGGGAAATAGCGATCAAGGACAGGATTTTTTTTCGAATCTACGAGGACACCTCGAAGGATTTTCGAGAGCCTCGAGGTCTCGGCTTCCCACCCCTTTATCTCCCGATCCATCCGTCGAAACTCGACGAAATGGTGATCGTTGGCTTCGTCTCGAAGTCCCCTAGAACTTTCGTGGGGGCGAAAATGCGGTGACTCCGCAGGGGAAACAGGAAAACGAAGAAAACGAAGAGAAGGAGGAAGAAGCCGACCCACCCTCCATTCCACAGGTGTATTCCGCAGGAGTCGCGGTCAAAGGGGCAATCCGACCGGCTGCCGGGGGAATCGGGATCGGCCAGAGAGGGCTGGAAAGAGTGCGCCGATATAGAACAAATTTGGCGGATTTCCATATAAATTTGCTGGCCGCTCGCGACACACGAGCCGCGAACAAGCGCCTCGGCCGAGGACTAGGGCGACTCTGGTCGCGGCGATGCCGTTCGACGCACACGCCCGACAAACTTGCAATCAACTATCCCCTGTCATCCCTCTTGTCCCTGTTCCCCCTGTTCCCTCTTTCCAAGTCCCCGATGCACCTGTCCGACCCTCCCCTCGCAATCTCGCCCCGACCGCGTTAGTCAATCATAATGCAATAAAAGTTCCCCGCGACTTCTTCGCCCAGCCAAGTTTTTACGCGGCTTCCACGGTTAATTACGGAGCCGGTTATCGCTTCGGTGATAAGGATGCGGCAATTTATTGCATGGATAGAATTTCATGGGATATATCGCGCAATAGTTCGAATTGAAAAAAAGAAACAAACGAAAAATTTGCATAGGTCACAAGAGATGCGTTTCTCCATTTTCTGGCCACGACTCGCCCTTCCCGAATTTCCTCTAATATAATTAAAAAAATAAATAAAGAAAGAAATGACAAAAGAGGTACTTTCCACTTCCTTCCATATAATCCAGCTTGAGAAAGACGTAAAACGCGTAGGGGGCGCGTAAATGCACTTCGAGGGCGGAATTTAATTCCTCGGTGCCGACAAGTTACGCCGGACTTTCGTTTTTCCCCCCGCGTTTTCCTTTTTCCTCCTTTAATCAAGCCGTGCCGACGCGAGTGGAGGTCTTCGCGGTTAATTTGTCTACTCGCTAGTTACGTTGACACCGGTTGGCACTTTCTTGAATAAACAAACACGCCACGTCGGTGCCATCCAAGATGGCGGCGCGAGGGCGACGAAGAGGCTTCGCCCCCGGGGCCTTCAAAAAATACAACCGGTATTCTCGGTCTTTCAGGAGGAAACTTTAATACCTCGCCGATCTACGAAAAATATCTCGCGATGTACTTTAGCCATCGCGTCCGATTAATTCCATTCCCAAGTTTCACATAAAGCGAGCAGCAATGGCGGAAGGATGCGCTATCTAGACCGCAACACGTGTGCCAAGTTTTCGCAGGGGTTCCGATTATTTCCCTATCTCCCTTCCGCCGCTTTCAATAAATCCCCGCTTAGGGATTTAGCTAGCTAAAACGCCGCGGAACGCCTTATCGACCTAATCTATTGCACTAATCGTCGACTCGAGGACTTTCGGTCACGTCTGCACGAAAATGGGGAATAATCACTCTTCCGTATGTACAGAAAATCAGAATAAAAGGACGGAAATCATTAGAAAAAGAACTCATCCCGTTGTTTGCAACGAAGGGTTGATTTTCGTCGAAGTTTTATGCAATAGAAGCGAGAGAAACGAGAAGGAAAAGCGAAAGGTCGACGAGGCGGAATTCTTGCAAAACAAGATGGCCGCCGGCTAGAGTCCTCGCCTTTCGCGCGGCGCGTCGGAAATATCGATGTGTACGTGGAGGTGCAGTTGCAACTGCAGTCCAGAGGGAGAAAAAGGGTGGAGAGGAAGTCAATCGGGCCGCACGTTGGGCACAGTCCAGTCGATGAGAAGCGGAAGATACAGAATATTGAAAACAGACGTCCGGAGCGTCGCGCAGCTGCCGGTGACGCGGAGGAAATGGTATCCAGGACCGATCCGGCTCGAAAAATGGATTGGCCTCGGAAAAGTGTCGAGGCGCCGGCGAATCAGGCCGACTCGGCGCCGGGGAAATTGGGAATATGACATTTTCACCGAGGGATTGCCGGCCTCGGGGATAACCGCGTCTCGGAGGTACGACTATAATGACGCTCCGGGGCCAATCAGCCGTGACCTGAAACCGGCGATCAAAACGAGCCTCCTCGAGTCCATCGCCTGATAAAATTGCGCATTTACTCATAATTGTAATTGGAAGTAATTCTCTCAGTTAATTGCCTTGGTTAAGACGCCACGAGCCATCGACCTCGGCCGACTTCGGGCGTTCTCCAAAATCTCACCTGGTATCGAGGACGTTCCTGGAGGCACCTTGCCATATCTCCCTCTCATCTGATTTCTCATTTTTAATATTTTATTCTGAAAGGTTATGATGTTTTTTTTTTTAGCAGTGATCGGCAGTTGTTCAGGTCGTTTTCACCCGGTCCTGAGGACATGGGCGAAGGTTCTTCCCTGGAACCGTCATTTTCCTTCCTTTCATCCAGGTAAGAGATGATATTTCGTCGCTCGGGTGGAGCCGAGCCAAAGGAACGTAATACCTGGCGCATCGATGCGTCCGCTGCGATTGACAGCGAGACGAAACGGCCCTGGACCGCGAAAGCGGGCACAGCCATTGTTGGAACATAAGTTACGTAAACGCAACGAGACCGGCGCCCCTGACGGCTCGATCGATGGAAATAATTCGACGGTGCAACCGGTGCACGGACAGTCCTCGGACCTGTCCCGGACGCGAAAGGATGCGCCCAGCTGATGGCCGGATGACGCGATTCCGTTTACGCACTTTGCAGGAATTACACGGATGGCTCGTCTCAAATATTTCCAAGGCTTACTGTCATCCAGGAACAGGGATGCTGGGATGGAACTGTACTTTAAAAAATGCCAACAAAGCCGCCGATTGCGGACATCGACGATCGCCATTTTTAAGGCTCTACTTACTTCCTCCCCGTAATCTTCCGGAGGGATGTAATACCTTAAGACAGTGCAGGGGATTTAATGCGGCCCACTTTTTCCCGTAAACTCACCTGAATGAAAAGCCAGGATGTTACAAGTGCCAAGCTGCTGTACTGCCCGTTAAATCGATAATGGTACGCGTAAAAGAAGAAGTGGTAGAGGTAGAAGAATCTGAAACATAAAGGAAGACCGTCGAGGTTAGTCGGGATAAAACGCGAGATTTGAGATATAGAATTTTTAAAAATTTAATAACATATTTTTCATTCGCAGGAAAAATATCAGGTGCCAAATTGCACGTTGTGGGGGCCTTTTTTTCATTTTGTAAATATCTTTACGGCCCGGGTGAATTTCGGATCACCTCGAAGGAAATGTCGAAGATGGAAATCCTGCCAATTCGGCCGTCGAGATGTAAAACGCGAGATTTGAGATATAGAATTTTTTAAAACTTATTAATATATTTTTCATTCGCAGGAAAAATGTAAGGTGCCAAATTGCACGTTATGGGGGCCTTCTTTTTCATTTGTAAATATCTTTACGGCCCGTGTGAATTTCGGATCACCTCGAAGGAAATGTCGAAGATGAAAATCCTGCCAATTCGGCCGTCGAGGTTAGTCGAGATATAAAACCCGAGATTTCAGATGTAGAATTTTTTAAAACTTATTAATATATTTTTCATTCGCAGGAAAAATATCAGGTGCCAAATTGCACGTTATGGGGGCCTTTTTTTAATTTTGTAAATATCTTTACGGCCCGGGTGAATTTCGGATCACCTCGAAGAAAATGTCGAAGATGGAAATCCTGCCAATTCCGTAATCGGCGATACCTCCTCTGGGAGGTACTTTGCGAAATCTCCGACCAGGTTGCTTTGATCTCGAATCGGCAGGAATCGAAATCGGGGTCCAAACCGAATCCTGGATCCCGGGGAGAACGCACCTTAAGCTGCAGAGATTTCGCCGGATTTCAGCACTTTTGCCTCGCCTTTTGCACCGTAACCTCTCTGTATATCCATATAAAAATGCTCGAGCAAGAGGCATCACCGGAAGGACTGAAATCCTAGACGGAAACGTGCAAACCGGACCATCCTGGCCGAAATTACTGGGCCGTGGCAAATCGGTAATAGGCTTAGTAAGTCTATGTCAGGTATTACAGGAATCTGTCGCACCTTCTGCAGAGGATGATGCAGAATCCGATGCGGAATCCTCTGCATATGGGTTTACAGGGGTAATGGTTCGCGAATTGACCGAGCTAAAATTAATCCTGCTATTTGGCCGGATTTAAGGTGAAGTGAAACACGTCGAGGAACTTGATCGACGTCGATAAAGAAGATTTTTCTAAATGCCCACGTTGCCGACGTTGGTTTTTATATTGACAGCTGGGTCGAATTATATTGTGTATTGTACCAAATGGCATATTCCACCTGTCGTTTTCGTACAATAATTATAAAGAAATCGAAGTAAAACTCCAGAAATCCTCTGGAATAATGCTTTCTGGGGCCCTAATTGACTGCGGAGGGACCCCCTGCGCCATCTGTAATTTCCAGGTCAATTAAATTTTCACTCCGAGACCTCGTATTACCATCGTTTTAGCAAAGAAGCGCATACAACACTTTTTTTGCCTTTATCCCGTTGAAATGCGAGTTTATTGACTACCAGAGTGTTCTAAATTCTCGTAAAATTGTCCTGACCCTATCGATTCTCATATCAGAGCCTTCAATAATTGTATATCGATCGAAATATCAGAGCTCGACGCCATTTTGGTTCTGGTCTGGACTGAATTAAACAATTTTTTTGATAAATCTAAATTTTGAATGTGTCAGGACAATTCTTAGATTATCAGGAGTGATGTGTCAAAGTTTCGGGCAGTTTGGTCTAATGCCCTTAAAAAAAAGTGTTGTATTCGAATCGACTGATTTGAGGGATGTTTCACTTAACCTTAAATATCCCTTATTTATATTACCATTTATTAGAGTGATAATAAATCCCTAGAGAGGTTGAGTATTTTTTAAAGGTCCGATATTTGCTGATGGACGTCGATGCACCTGTTCGAACGTCGCTCCAAGCTTTTAAGGAGCAAAGCGATTTTGAGCCCCGCTGGCAGACCGTCACGGCATGTTTACTTCCGAATATGCCGACCGGGATTTAACCCGCTCTTATAACAATTTTCCGGCAATCTGGCTCCGTCAAAGGAACGGTGACCTCCGACCCCGCAAGCGGAGTGAACTCATACGTAGAGCAATCGGAATTATGCGGATATCGATTTTGACGCTATATTGTTCGGGCACATATCAGTGGGAAAATTGGTCCGCAATATTTGGAGGTCGTGATCGATCCGATCGATCCTTAAAAAATGACGTGGAGGAAAAGTGTGTCCTACTTGATGAGGAGAAAAAGGGAACCTAATCCGGGGGGGGTCCATCTCTGTATTTAGGGCTTCGAACGACACGAGGAGACACATTTTCCCCGTTACAAGATAATGGAGCGACGTCGCATTGTCGATCAGGAGCTCTCAGATTTCTGCCGTCCCTCGGATTCGCGGACCCCGAAGAAAGACATCGGAGTGCGTCTAAGAGGGGACAGGAAGTGAGATTCTATTGTTACGTGATCTCCCCAACGCACCTCGAGACATACGAGGCATACGAATTCCCGAATTTCTGATATCCGCTTTCCGCCTCTAGGAAAAAAGAAAAAAAAAAAGGAAAAACATCCTCGAATCAGCTCTTTCGACCTGCCCGATTTTTGACAGGTCGAAAATTTGCTCAATTCCCGAATTTCGTATATCCGCTTTCCCCCCCTAGGAGGAAATGAGGGAAAAACACTTCCTCGAATCAGCTCTCTCGATCTGCCCGATTGTTTACACGTCTCAAATTTGCACGATAAACAAATTCCCGGGATTTATAAAATACTCCGCGCGTGTCGACACATATATGGAAATTCCGAATTCCCGAATTTCGTACATCCGCTTCCCCCCCGGAGGAAATGAAGGAAAAACCATACCTCGAATTTGCTCTCTGGACCTTTTCGATTTTTCACCGGGCTAAAATTTGCCGGAAGAAATTCGCGGGTTGTATAAAATTTGCGGAATTTATAAAATCCCCCCCGCGACCTGGAAAACCGCGACAAAGAAAGGGCTGAAAGGCCATAAAAGGGCCGATCCGTGAGAGGTCTTATTTTTTCCGGGGAAAAAAGGGGAAAAAGATAAACCTTCCCGCGGGAAGCGTCGTTACAATTTTTTAGTGTCCACCTTTCTTGGGTCCTCGCCGCGCAGGACCCCTCTCCCAGTCCCGAGGACTTTTTTACGAGGAAACCAACTATCGCCGATGTCCATTCGTCCGCTTCCAATAAAATGGCCTCCTCTCATAAAACGCCCAATAAATTACATTAATTTCGCGCGCGGCGAGACATTTCCGGCGAATTGCAGGATCGTCACCGATAATAGGATGAACCGCAAAAATTGCGCGTTGGCAATCGGCGGGGGAGGGGGATTATATATGAAATTATGAGAATTGCGGAGCGCAATGCATTATACGCGCATTATATGCACGTACTCGGTGAAATAATTCCGTCGCGGTCTAAAAATACTCGCGAAATTCGAACAATTATTAGCCCGGTAATCTCGCTCGGGTATAAATGATTGTTTTCCCGCGACAACTCGAAGGAGAAATTAATTCGAAAGTGCTACCCCTTCGCCACGTGTGGGGGGTAAAAGGGTTAAAGTGGAAAATTCACGTTTCCCCTGCACCGTTAAAAAGATTCTCAAGATGTCCAAATAAGCTGGAATAAATTATTACATATAAAATTATATCTTCGAAATCTTGACCATTTGAGTTAATACGAGGGAAATAATTATTCCTTGAATTAGCCAATTTTTGGTTAAATGGGATTTTTTTTCTCGGGGTAGTTAGCTGAATGAAAGTCCTACCTAGTCCGAATGAGGGTTTGAAAAATTGTTATAAAATTATGAGGGTTCTTTCTTAACATTGTGGAGGGTCGAGGGTGGAGAAATAGGGAGGGGGAAATATAAAGGAAATAAAATCGAGCCGATCTTGCCCTCGGAGGGCGGGGGGAGGGGGTTATAATCAAGTGATTTTTACGAGGAGTTGTTACCGGGTCGTCAATATTTGCGGATCAGGGTGGAGTTAGGTCGGGACCACACGAGCACACTTAAAAGACGCAGGTTAGGGGAGTCATTGGCGAGGAGGAGCAGGGGACTCTATGTACCCTCTTGACTCGGCTATGACGGCTAATTTTCTAGAGTACGCCCGAGACTTTTCCGAATCGATTCCTCGGGCCAACCTTTACTTTCCTTACATTACGTGTGCACACTTAGGCTGATCCTCTTATGGGAGGAGAAAGCCCCTCATTGTTATCAGATCATGCCTTTTGCATATGGGGGATCCAAGACGACGGAATTCCCCGAAAATCTGGAAAATGAGGAAAATCAGGAAAAATTGCACCTGCTAAAATGCCACACCGCACCGGACGGGATTTCCGGAGATGGCTCCGACTTTTAATGTCCTAAGCAAACTTAATTTTCATTAACCGGAGTGCCGCGATGCTTTGCGCGCATAAAACGGCGGCGTATGAAATAAAAAGCACGGGAAAGAAAGAAAGAAAAAAACAAAACAAAACAAACGGGGGAAAAAATCCCCATTTCGCAAATACCTCGGAAAGTCCAATTTGTAAAGCCGGCACGACAAACTGAATCACTGATACGGTAAATTGGACCCCATCGACACTTTTTTTCCAAGGTAACTAAAAATAACAGCTGTATCTGAAATAACAATACATCGAAGGTCTACGGGGGTGGAGGGACCGAATAAAAAACCGGGCGGAAAAAAGCTGCGCAAAAAAGCCGAAGGAAAAAGCACACCGTGGAAACCAGTCGGGGAGAGGTGGAAACAGGTGAAAAATAATTCGAGGAATTAAACTCCCTCGGAAAAAGTAAGAGCGATGGAAGGACCGAGGCGGCGTTTTCTTTTTCCGACTTTTCTCGGAATATAACGATCGTTCCTGCATTGATAAAAAATTCTTATACCTCGCGCCGTTAAAGAAAATAAAATACTTCTCGCCGTTTCTCTTATTTAATCGAACATCTACTGGCTTTCCAAAACAATCGTCAGGATTAATCGCGAGGATGATAATTCCTGGAATTATATTCGGCCGCAGAATTTC